TAAGCCTAAAGTAAACAAACAAGCAGCTAACCCTAGCCGAAAGTAAGATGACAATGAGTTGTTATCCATCACCAACTAAACAATGACAACTAGACAAACCCTACCACCAATAATAATAGATACTTCAATACTCCCCCTCAAGCTGGATCGAGAGTTCTTCTGGATCCAAGCTTGAAGAGAAGACGATCAAGTTGTGCAGAAGGCAGAAGCTTGGTGAACACATCGGCAAGTTGATCACTGGAACGAACAAATACAGTTTGTAATAGCTTGGACTGAACTTGGTTGCGAACGAAATGACAGTCAACCTCGATGTGCTTTGTGCGTTCATGGAAGACGGGGTTGGCAGCAATATGCATTGCTGCTTGATTGTCACAGTGAAGAAGAATTGGTTTGGAGGAGATGATTTCAAGATCACGTAGCAACCTCTTTAGCCAAATTAGTTCGCATGCAGTCGATGCCATTGCACGGTACTCAGCTTCTGCGCTTGACCGAGCTACAACAGATTGTTTTTTGCTCTTCCACGTAACGAGGTTACCACCAACAAGAGTGCAGTAACCAGTTGTGGATTTGCGATCAAGGACATTGCCTGCCCAATCAGAGTCTGTGTATCCTTCAATGGTGAAGTGTCCGTTGTTTTGCATGAAAATCCCAGTAGATATTGAGCTTTTCAAGTATCGAATGATCCTTTTAACTAGTTGCAAATGATGAGATGAGGGAGAATGCATGAACTGGCTGACAAAGCTAACAGCATAAGCAATGTCAGGTCGGGTTATAGTCAAATAGATAAGTTTTCCTACCAACCTTTGATACTCCGATGCATTTTCAAGCTGGATGCCTGAGGTTTCATCCTTGAAATTTGTTGGTAGTGGTGTTTTGGCAGGCTTGCAATGCATCATATTTGCTTCTTCTAAAAGATCTAGAACGTACTTTTGTTGATTTAGAAACAAACCAGTTGGAGATTGATCCATTTCGATTCCAAGAAAGTATCGAAGTCTGCCAAGATCTTTGATTTTGAAGGTTGAATGTAATGTGGCTTTGAGGGCAGTTATTTCTTCTGGATTATCTCCCGTGACAATAAGATCATCAACATAAACAAGTACCACCAATCTTCCATGCGTACCAATCCTAGTGAACATTGAAGAATCTGCATTGCTTCGTTTAAAGCCGGATGACATAAGGACAGAACTAAGTTTTGAGTACCAAGCCCTTGGAGATTGCTTGAGACCGTAAATAGCCTTGTGAAGCTTGCAGGCTATTCCTTGTTCCTTCTCTCGTTCATGACCAGGTGGTAGTCGCATGTATACCTCTTCTTCTAACTCTCCATGTAGGAAGGCATTTTTTACATCCATTTCATGTAGAGACCAGTTTGAATTGATAGCCATCGAAAGAAGCACTCTAACTGTGTTCATCTTTGCCACAGGGGCAAAGGTTTCTTTGTAATCTACTCCGAAGGTTTGTGTGAAGCCCCTTGCAACTAACCTTACCTTGTGCCGCTCTATGTTTCCATCTGAGTGAAATTTGGTCTTATAAATCCATCTTGCCCCAACCACACGTTGACCTTTTGGCAGAGAAACAATGCTCCAAGTTTAATTTTCATCAAGTGTCTTCAGTTCTTCAAGCATGGCTTGCCTCCATACAGGAGATTGGTGTGCCTCTTCGAAGGATCGAGGCTCAGAATTTTGGGATAACTTGGTCACAAAGACAGCATGAGATGGAGAGCTCTTGCTATGAAAAACCATTTGTCCATTAGGATGTCTAGGCGTGTAGATTTCAAAATCATCAAGCCTGGCTGGAGGTTGTCTGTTTCGAGAAGGATTCCTTCGTGGAGGAGGAGGTTGTTCAAGTTGAGGCTCTCTCCTTTCGAGAATGAATTCTTCATTATCTGCTTCCATACTTTCAGGAGCTGGCTCTATCTCAACAGCTTCATTTTGCGGTGTTGACAGCCTTGTATCATCAAGGAAGAGAGGGGTAGGAAACACTTCATATGAGAGCTCCCCCTGAGGTTCATCATCATGCATTTGAAAGAAAGATTGAGTTTCATCAAAACGCACATCCCTGGATACACATACCTTTCTGGTCTTAGAGTCATAGCATTTGTATCCCTTTTGGGAAGTTGAGTAACCTACGAATGCACATTTGATAGCCCTTGGATCAAGTTTATCTCGGTGAATAGTTTGAATGTGCACATAGCATACACATCCAAACACACGGAGATGACTTATGTCAATTTCTCTCCCCTTGAGAATTTGGTAAGGAGATTTGAACTTCAAGATTCTACTAGGAAGGCGATTGATGATGTATGCAGCGGTTTGTATAGCTTGAGACCAGAACTTCTTTGGAACTTTTGCTTGTAACATTAGTGATCGTGTTTTTTCAAGCAAATCTCGGTTCTTTCTTTCTGAAATGCCATTTTGTTGTGGCGTTCCTACACAACTTGTTTGTTGCAAAATTCCATGCTCACTTAAGTAAGTTGTCATGATTTTGGAAGTGTACTCAGACCCATTATCAGACCTTAAGATGCCAATTTTAGAGTTAAAATGATTTTGAATTAATTTATGAAATTTTTTGAAACATTGGAAAGCTTCATGCTTGAATTTAAGTAAATACACAAAAGTAGTTCTAGAGAAATCATTAATGAACGATATGTAAAATCTGTAACCATCAAAGGACTCTAAGGTGGCAGGTCCCCAAATGTCAGAATGGACTATTTCAAAGGCTTTGGTAGCTCTAAAGAGATAGTGGGGAAAGGGTAACCTGGTGAACTTAGATTTTTGACAAACTTCACAATCTGGAATCACTTTACAGAAACTAGGAAAAAGAAAAGACATAACATGTGAAGAAGGGTGAGCTAATCTCATGTGCCACAGCTGCTCCTTGTTTACAGTGCTTGAGTTTACGTAGAAACTTTTTGGGAAACTTGAAGAGAATTTGACATAGTACAGTCCATTGAGGAAGAATCCTTTACCAATCGTTTCCTTCGAAACTTGGTCCTGGAAAATCACATAGTGAGTTGAAAAAATTGCAAGACAATTTAGCAAATGTGTTATTTTTCCTACTGACAATAGTTTGAAAGGAAAAGAAGGGACATGCATGACAAGGGATTCTTTTTTACTCGAGAAGATTTTGAGTTTCCCTCTGCCTACTATACGAACTTTGGTGCCATTAGCTACGAAGACAAAAGAAGGAGTGGAAAAGTTTTGAAAATCATTTAGTAAAGATGCATCGTTAGTCATGTGATCTGAAGCTCCTGAGTCAACTATCCAAAAATCACAACTACTACTAAGATCCAAAGCAGTGGAGATAGTTGCAATAATACCTGGCATGTCATTTTGTGACACTGAGTTTGATTGTTCGAGGAAGCCAGCAAACTTGCCGAGCATGGCTGAAGGAGTTTCATGATTTGTTGCTCCTTGTTTCTGTTGCAAGAAGTTAGCGAATTCATTTATGAGAGCAATGGGACTAGAGGAAGAGTTTATCACATTATTGGAGACATTGTCGCAAACAAGATTTCCTCTAGGAGTGTAGGCAGGCCTCATTTGGTTTCTTGGTGCTCTTCCATCGTCATTGAACTTAGGTTTAAGTTCTGGATAAAGAATCCAGCACTTCTCTTTTATGTGTCCAATACCTGTACGACCTATCTTCACACAGTGAGAACACTTTAAGTCTGGTCGTTTCCCCTTGTATGGTCTGGAGAAGGTGAAGGCTCTTGCTTCTGATGGCCTAAATTTTGATTCTCCAACAACCATGTATGCGTTCATGACCTTCTTTCTTACTTCTTCACGTTGAATAACGTTGCAGACCATCTGTAAAGTGGGAAGTTCAGGTGTCATTAAGAGATGGCTTCTAAGGTCTTCATAATCTGGTCCAATGCTGGCAAGCAACTGGAACACTTTGTCTTCTTCAGCACGCTTTAGAAGAATGGTTGTGTCCGTGGTATGAAGTCTGTAGAGATCCAATTCATTCCATTTGGCCTTCAAGTTGCCAAGATGTTGAACAAAAGAGAGATTTCCCTGTTGTAATTCCGTAAGATCTTTCTTCAGCTGAAAGACTCGCGCAGCATTGTTTAGATCTCCATACATGTCTCGTACGGAATTCCAAAGTTGGTGAGATGATACTGAGTAGCTGAAAATCTCAGCCATCTTTGGTTCCATAGAGTTTAACAGCCAAGACATGATAAGTTGATCTTGGGATACCCATGCTGCATAATCCGGTGCAGTTGTTTCGGGGATGATGTCATCCTTTTGAATGAATGAGAGCTTTCCACGTCCTCCAAGAGCGAGAGAAATAGCTCGTGACCAGGGCAGGTAGTTGAATTCGTTTAGAAGCACAGAGCTCAAACGTTGAATTGGATTGGTATCCATGGTTTCGTTTGTTGAAGTTTTTTCTGCTGGTATGGCCATAATGGCTCAACTGGTTTGGATTTGGTGGGTTTTTCGGAAGAACACAGAAGCAGGTCCAAGAGGAATCACTGCTCTGATACCATATGGACAATTTTATGTATATATCATGTATAAAATAGTTTACAAGATCAACCATAAATAGGAGAGGAATACAAGAAAGAAAGTGGGGGAATGGTGCGGACAGGGATGGCAGCTCAGCAAGCATGAGTGAAGACCTGACCTCCACTATCTCTAACTTAAACTAATACCTAGCTTTTCATGATGAGGGAATATTGCTCTTAAATAAGCCTAAAGTAAACAAACAAGCAGCTAACCCTAGCCGAAAGTAAGATGACAATGAGTTGTTATCCATCACCAACTAAACAATGACAACTAGACAAACCCTACCACCAATAATAATAGATACTTCAATAATAATGAATATAAGAAAGCTAAACAACTACAAGTTTTCCACATTGATGGTGTTGTCAAAGGATTACTGATCTTGTTGAAGAAATTAGACAATTATCATTTGGTAAGTATAAATTATTTGATTCAAGAACTCAATTCAGTTCAAGAACGCACAGACTATGGTGATACGAAGTTCATTTGCTCAATGAATGAAAGAATAATATTTAATAAATGAATTTGGAATACAAATAAATGAATTAATATGCTGCACATGAGACGAGCGGATATATGATCATCTGGGTTTCTCGTCTCACTTTCAAACTAGAACCTCGATCGCTTGCATTCAGCCGGGAGGCCTTGTGGGAAGCGTTTAAGATCAGAGCAGTAGTTGTAAACCATGAATTTCTGTTGCACCCAACGAAGCCTTTTTCGGCCTGCGGCATCAAGCCCCTGAGTTTTCCATGCACTCTGCTCTGTCAATGAATTAGTAGATGTAGTGGAGGCACAGGAGGATGGTGAGCTAGCAGTACAAGCATTGGCCTTGAAGTTTCTGTAAGTGGCGGTGAAAGGAGCTTGAGTCCAGTCAGTCTTGACAAGGCCACCTCTTGTTGCCCAGTCATCTGCATTCCACAAACTTGAATAAATCCTCATGGGCTGGTTTTTAGGGAATGGGACTCCAGCTGATTCCAAGTTGTTGAACACTCTGATTGGAATGTTATCCACCAAGAATCTGCATAAAATTTGCACACGCATGTATTAGAAAGTGTTTGCAAATAACTGGTGGTACTCTCCACACGCCCCCTTGTGTGTGACATGGATTCTGACCTAAAGAAATTAGTTAAAGATGAAGGCATGCATGTAGTACTTACATAATGCGCTGCGAGTTCCAAACAATGGAGTATGTGTGGAAGGTTTTTGTGGGGTCAAACCAAACAATGGAGTATGTGTGGAAGGTTTTTGCCCAAAAACTCGAAATCAATCTCGTCATGGGTTGGACCTTCAGAAGATAACTGAAAATATGCAATTTGTTTAACAAATTAGCAATGCAATTATGGAATATATATTTAGAATTAAAGGGTATAATTATGAGGGCAGTACTAGTACTTACATAGTAGGCAGTAACGGTTCCAGCTGAGTTGCCGGAGACGAGCTTGATCTGCATGTCAATCCTTCCAAATAAGTACTCATTCTTGGACTTGAAGCCAGACCCAGAGGCCTTATCAAGGTTGAGTGTGAGAAGCTGTCCTCCGTTGAGTATCTTGGCACGTCCGTCGCCAAATGTAATGTCAAAGTCTTGAAAGAAATTACCAGCTGAGGCAGTCATGGCCATTAGAGAAGTTGTGAACAGTGAAAGAAGAAACACCATATTCATTGGTACCTTACAAGAAGACATTCTAATAATTTGGTGAAAATCGCGCAGAGAGAGAGAGAGAGAGAGATGATATTGTGAAGAAGTTGTTTTGATGGTGTAATTCAAGTTTTAATGTCCTATATATATATGCGTGTGTGTGTGTGTGGTGGGAGACCTTATGCCGCGTTGAACAAAAAGAGCAGCTGGCAGCTGATTCGGTAGGCGAACTTTATTTGATTTTGCGTTCGGTGGTGCCCAACTTTAGAGCTGGACACAGGTTTGCAATTTCTGTCTAAGGTAGGCAGGAAGCAGCATACGAAAACGGTCAGGTTTATATGATAGCTTTGTGAAGCATTTAAGTTGGTAACGTTGGAGTCACACTTACAATTAAGTCAATGGATAGAAACTCTGATGTAACCAATATATTGTCTTAGTTGCACCACTTGACGGTATTCAAATAATATATTAATTGTTCGTTAGATAGTTGTCAAACATGTTATATATTCATTGATGTAATTAGAATATACTCCAATTCATAAATATTTTTTTTTTAAAAAGGGACCAATTGGTGGTTTTGACACTGCAGTCCACTCTTTTAGGAGCCGAGAAGACTCACAGAGGCATTTCAACCTCCACTGACCATCATCGTGTGATTCACCAATGCCAAAAATCGAACACATGACGTGCCGTGTGAAATACATGCCTGAAATTCTTCCCCCACCTAAGCCACCCCGTTCATTTCATAAAAAATTAACAATGTTGTATATTATCACATTAAAATAAACAAAACAACACCAGCACCATAACATCCAAATTCTTTTTGGAACATATGGACTAAAAAGTATAAGCGCGTTCGGTGGTAATGTTTGCGACTACGCGGACACACACACTCTCTCTCTCTCTCTGTTTTTTAAGCTACCAACCTACAGGGTTGTGCACCTAACAATGAGTTCACATTTGTGAATAACATGCAGAATCAAAATACTCAAATTGTAGGTATATATATATGGAGCGACTAAAACTAGTACCTGCATGGCAAACGTAAAAGTTTAGGTTGCGACAAACTAAGCCACATCACTTATAGTTACTGGGAAAAATTAGTATCTGGTCCTTAATTACTAATGTTCATTGATTGAAACCTTATTAGTTTTCAAATTTTGATTCAAGTCTCTAGCATTAATGTAATAATGAATTTACATGTCAGTTATATAATTTTGTAAAATAAAAATTAATAATTGATTTATAATTTTAATACTTACACCTTTATTAAACTCCTAACTAATTTTCAATTCAAATCATTTCCAAAAATAAATAAAAATTAGAATAAGTTTGTACCCATTAGCTTTTTTGAAAAATGTTTTCAATTTTTTAATCTTATATGTACCCATTCATGTAATTTTTTTTCAAATTTTTAATATTAAAATGTACTCATTCTTAAATATACCAATTTGTTATATGTAAAATGTACCCTTTTTTATATATAAAATCTATTCAAATTTTTTCTAATCCATTTTTAAACTTATATGGGTACATTCTTTTTTCTTTGATTTGAGAATGTATCTATGTCAAGTTTAATTGAAGAAATTTACTAATGTTATTAAGCCAAACATTTTTTTTTTTGTTTTTTTTGCGGGTTTGAAGAATGTACCCATGTTTTGGTACAATAATTTTTTGGTTAATTTTGATGAATGTAACCATGTTTATATACACACACAATAGTATAATTTATATTCTAAATTTCTTAATCCCACAAATTATAGGTTTTTATTTAAAATCTCATTCATATAAACAATTATAAATTTTAATTTTTAATTTAAAAGTAATATACATAGAAATAAATTATCACATTAATTTCAGGAATTTCGATTAAAATTTGAAAACTAACAAAATTTCAGTCAAACAATATTCATAATTAGGGACCGCATCCAAAATTTCTGTACTTACAAATACTGCTAGCTGTTGCTACAAGTGAAATATGCAGTAATGCATGGGCTGGATTTGCTCCTTTCAAATTTCAAATCATCAAATGCTAAAGGTCTCTAGATAAATCATGATACATATGCATGGTCACGTGACTTTTATTTTGATGCAAAGTAAAGTTGTGATTCGGGTCACAAGAAATAACCAGGAAATTATCAAACATAAAAGTTTTTGTTTTTGGTTAATAATCAAACGTAAAAGCTGTCCAAGCTTTTAAAGTTCACATTATTTAGTCAGATTTTATAATCTTTCAAATATATAGGTTAAAAGAGTCGTGAGAGGACTAAAATGGTTCATTTGATATTGAAGATAAATAACGTATCTTTATCTTCACCATCTAACGCACTCTATGTATGTGGATTTCAAAAATTTAAACACTGAAACACATACACAAACATCACAATTAATGTATGGTTTAAAGAAAGAGAAGTGATTTATGTACTTTGTGGCCTTATGCATTTTCCGCTTTTATTTTGTCAATAATTTATTTTTTATTTTTTTTATTTTTTGGAAAACCTCGGCGGGACGAGGTAAATTTATTGATAGAAAAAAAAGAAGTTACACCTAGTCACGGAGGACATAAACCTTACCCCTCATAGAACAAGAAAAACGAAATACAAAGAGGAGGGACATACACCTTACCCATTTTGAAAAAGAAAATACAGGAAAAAGAGGGGGGGACATAGACCACACCCCTCTTGAAAAAGAAAATACAAGAAAAAGATTGGGTGGACGTATACCCAAACCCCTCTATAAACCTTAAAAGGTAAGAACCTGTAAGATAAGATGCAAAACGAAAAAGGAAATCCAAAAAGATTAGGTAAAAAAGGGAAATCACACATCAAGAAGAGGAGACAAACCTGTAAGGTGGCATGCCTAAGAAATCTGAGTATAGAAGAGGAAGAACCTCTATAGAAGGAGTGGAATGCCAAACAAGTGAAGATGAGAGAAGCCCTAAATTGGCTAATTTGTCAGCAACAACATTCCCTTCTCGAAATGTATAGGAGCAACGGAAAACCATGTTTTGCAATCGGAGAATACAATTGTTCCAGCGTGTCTGGAGCGACCAAGGAGGAGAGAAGGATCCAGAAGCGAAACAGGATATCACGCTAGAAGAGTCACATTCAAGCCATAAATTTTGCCAACCCCGTGAGTGAGACAATTCCACAGCAAGGATGATAGCATGGAGCTCCGCATAGAAAGAAGTATGATGCCCCAAGCTTAGGGAGAAACCACCAAAAAAATAGCCCGCATAATCTCAGAAAACCCTGTATTCAATCTAATGATTCGAAAATAGAGAATGTGCAAAATGATTTAGCAATAGAAATGAGTAGTCTATCTTCTTATATACACACATGCAATATTTTACCTTTTTCGATATGAGACTATTTTAACTTCAGATCCTCTCACAAATTAAGTTAAATGCATAAATCATTGCCGATAAAGAAATTGCTAGATGAAGTCTAATTTTTATTTTATTTATTTTCCAACTTCTATACGTGGGACTTTGACATGCACACTACATTAATGCGATCGATAAATTTATGTGTTGATTGGAAATTTTAGGTTATGGTGTAGTAACATCCTTCAAAAAGTCACTTGATCATGACGAGGTTGATATCTCACTTCTAGTGTATGATCTTGCTTGTAGATTTCAAGATATCCCGTTCGTAAGATTAATTTTGCGACAAATGTTCTTTGAGATGTGGGTCACTCTGCTCCCACTAATTCTATTTAGTTGCAAACCCTGCTAAAGAGGCAAGATCAACATGGAGGCTTTTGTAATTTTAACTGCCCTAGACGGTTTTCTTTGTATGTATAACTAGTTTATATGTTAAGGTATAGTATTGTTAAATATATATGCATTATGACAGAAGTGGATTAACGGAAAAATTACTCATCGCATGCGTGCACGTTTTAGCTTCAACGTGACCAACTAATTAATAACATGCCTCACAAGCTATAAACTCACAAAGATTCCTAATTTCCTTTCCTATGCTACTTCCTAGTTCCTACGCTAATTTATTTCTTTTTTGTTCCCATGCATATTGCCTGAATTTGCAAACCTGTGTCCAGCTTTAACACAAGTTGGGGGCTTTTGCAACAAGTCAATTTTCGGAGAACAAAATCATATCATATTACCCCATACCTAATAATTTGCCAACATACAAACTTTGAATTATTAAACAATGCCAGCTTTATTCACGCGGCATACTTTATTCTACTCGCTCTCGAAGATCTCCAACATATATATAGAGGGCGTCACAACTCAAATTTATATCATCAAAACACACACAGTTTCATATTCGTCTCTAAAGCAATCAAAATGTCTTATTCTTCTAAGCTCTCAATGGTGGTGCTTCTTTCTTTGTTCATAACTTGTGTCATGGCCATGGCTGCCTCGGCTGGCAATTTCTATCAAGATTTTGACGTTACATTCGGCGATGGACGTGCCAAGACACTCAACGGAGGACAACTCCTCACTCTTAACCTTGATCAGACTTCCGGCTCCGGTTTCAAATCCAAGAACGAGTACTTATTTGGAAGGATTGACATGCAGATCAAGCTCGTCTCAGGCAACTCAGCGGGAACTGTCACTGCCTACTATGTAAGTCGTACTACACTACATATATACCCTCTTATTAATTTGTATGCTTGTAATTGTATAGATATATTCTGTATAGTTGCTTTGCTAATTTGTGAAACAAAAATGTATATTTTTCAGTTATCTTCTGAAGGTCCTACTCATGACGAAATCGACTTTGAGTTTTTGGGAAACCTATCTGGGGATCCCTACACTCTCCATACTAATGTGTTCAGCCAAGGAAAAGGAAACAGAGAACAACAATTCCATCTTTGGTTTGATCCCACAAAGGCCTTCCACACCTACTCCATTGTTTGGAACGCACAACGTATTATGTAAGTACTACATGCATACACTCAATGAGGGAGTGTGCTGAGAATATCACTTGTTATTTTTAGACACTTTCTAATACATGTGCAAATATTATGCAGATTTTTGGTGGATAAAATTCCAATTAGAGTGTTCAACAACTTGGAATCAGTTGGTATCCCATTCCCTAAAAACCAGCCCATGAGGATTTACTCAAGCCTGTGGAATGCAGATGACTGGGCAACAAGAGGTGGCCTTGTCAAGACTGATTGGACTCAAGCTCCTTTCACCGCCTCTTACAGAAACTTCAAGGCCGATGCTTGTACTGCTGGCTCATCATCCTCCTGTGCCTCTACTGCATCTACCAATTCAGTAGGGGACAGTGCATGGCAGACTCAAGGGCTCGATGCAGCCGGCCGTAACCGGCTTCGATGGGTGCAACAGAAGTTCATGGTCTACAACTACTGCAGTGACCTTAAACGCTTCCCACAAGGCCTCCCAGCTGAATGCAGAAGATCAAGGTTCTAAAGATCCAAATATCTTCCCACAGATCATCAAATATTCCCCTCTCTGATGTGCAGCGTTCATTTGTGTAATTAGCTTTAATTTATGATACATTCTTTCTTCCTTCTGCAAATAAAGATTGTCTAATGTGACATTATTTTCTGTTTTTTTTTTTTTTTTTTTTTTTTTCATTGTGAACTGAATTAAGATTCTGGAATAAAGTACTTCATATTAATCGATAAATTGATAATATTTGAGTTTTCTCCAAACAATATCGAGGAAGTGTTCATTAGCGGGTTTACACAACCAATAGTAGGTTTTATTTTATTTTATTTTATTTTATGCTGAAAAATGTACAAATCAACCAAACCAAAATTGTCGATCTCGTTTGCAGTTGTTTTCTTAATTGGCACTAAAATTGCCTTTCCATCTCAAGAAAATTGATGGTTATTGACTTTACTAAAATATGTATCAAATATATATATATATATATATATATAATTTTTTTTTTTCGCGTACTCAATCCTGGAAGAGGATCATCTTTGGATTCCCACATCCTAAAGATCTCTACATCCTAGCCGTTTATCGTACATCGCATGATCAGCTTTCGTCAGGTACTATTTGCGTTTAATTTTAAATAAAAAAAAGTCAAATGATTTCTGACCGCACAATACACAATAAATGACTAAGATGTGAGGACCCCTAAGATCTCCAAAATCCTCACAATTTGGATCCGGATAGGATCCAATTCACTCAATTCGTAAATGGTCGTTTAGGTATGTGTTATATTCGTTAAAAAACATCTTATTTTCATTATATCTCGTCTCTTAATGGTTTTAGGCACTTTGATGTTTCTTTGAAAAGTTTCGTTACTGATATATATAATCAACAATGTGTGGTCCTTTCTAAAAGTTTCATTTCAACTGGCATATTGGGAGTAACTTGGAACAAAATAAAATAAAAAGTTAATCATCAAAGCTTAAAATCATCAAAGCAAGTGGCCTTTTACAACAATACTAGAAAGGAGTTACGCCCTACATAACGATGTGGGTTTAAATTTCATCGGTAACTAATCTAACATTTAACCTAACAAAATCAATCGTTTAACAAAAAAAAAAAAAAAAAAAAAAAGGGGTTAAAATCATCAAAATTCATGGGCCAAACGTGTAATTAACAAAAAAAAAAAATTTTAAATAAAAGAAAAGAAGTGGGTAGCATTGTATGGGCTCTCACATTGTTTGGCAGCACAGCCTTTTGGGCTTTTGTGGCTAACCAAGTCTCCCTAAGATCCATTAAGAATGGCACACAACGTGTTATCCCTAAAAACCAACAAATAGAATGCAGTCGACCTCAACAACTCCATTGCCAAAATGCTCTTACCCTCTCTCCCTTAACCACTTCCACTATCGACACCCTCGCAAACCCCTCAACTTCCTTCTCCTCCCCCGAAAACCCCAAACCCACTTCACCAACCACTGCGCCCTTTCCATCTCTCACACCCACGGTTGCAGCAGAGAGCACCAGAACCAGAGCCAGAATCACATCAATGGCGATTCCGACCCCTATCAGAACGATATGTTGTTTCTGCAATTGAACCCCTCAGGAGACACCGAAGACGCCGGTAACCAAAGCCCAGAAGCCCCAAACGACGAACGAGGGCGAGATCAAAGAGAGAGCGAAGCCGATAATTCCGAGGGACTTTCGACAAACATGTGGTGGGCAGACGTGAAAGCCGCATTGGGACAAAGGTTCAACTTTGGAGCATTAGTTCGTTCAGCCATGGTGCTCACGAAAGACAAGCACTTGGTGCTGCCTCATGTTTCTGTGCCTGATATAAGGTACATTGATTGGCCTGAGTTGCATAGAAGGGGTTTCAAGGGTGTTGTGTTCGATAAGGATAATACTATCACTGCACCTTATTCCTTGACGCTTTGGGGTCCTCTTGGGTCTTCATTGGAGCAGTGCAAATCAGTTTTTGGACCCGATATCGCGGTGTTCAGTAACTCGGCAGGTAGTTTTTGGCAGAACCCATTTGGAAAATATGATTTTTTGTTGTTGGTTATGTTTATTTGTCGAAGTAAAGATTTTGGTTTCATGGTTAGGGCTTTATGAGTATGACCATGATGGTTCAAAAGCTAGGGAGCTTGAAGGGGCTATTGGAATTAAAGTCATAAGACACAGTAAGTTTTTGTTATTTCTTTATTTCTGCTGCAAAGTTTTTGAATTTTTCATTTTTTGCATACCGAACTACATTTGAAAAGAGCAGGTTGGTTAAATACAAGTTTTCCATAGGAATTATAGAGCTTATGTAGTATTGATGTGGGTATTTTTATCTCATGTTATAGGAGTGAAGAAACCAGCCGGAACAGCTGAAGAGATCGAGAAGCATTTTGGTTGTAAATCGTCACACCTTATTATGGTAGATAAGATTCATAGACATCTTGGATTGTTTTATTTGATCTTTGTCTAGATTACAATGAATAAATGACTCATGGGATATTTTCGTCTGTTGCAGGTGGGTGATCGGCCCTTAACTGATATTGTCTATGGTAATCAAAATGGATTTCTAACTATTTTAACCGAACCGTTGAGTCTCAACGAGGAACCATTCATTGTTAGGCAGGTTAGTTTTTGTTTCTTCTCAAAATACTTTTCATACTCTGAAAGTGAATGCTGTGTCATTTTCTCTTTTCCAAACAAAAAATGGTATAATATCTGATAAGGCAGTTGGTGCAAATGGTTGGCTCTTCCTGAATTGAGGAAACGAAAGATCAGTCTGCTAAGCTTAATTTGGGAAATGCCTAGTTTGTGGTGTCAGTAGTTATCCTTCATTTGTCCATACTTTTATCCTTGTGATTTAGGATAGTACAGAATCCTCTTATGAGCTATCTTGTAGGGTAAGGGTGGTGGAAAAACCCCGGTTGTCGCAAACTAAATATAAAGAAGATAAGGAGGGGAAATCAAACTAAACAATCACCCCAAAGAAAGAATAAAAAGGAGCATCCAAGAGTGTAGACTTCAAAAGGAAAAAAAAAATGATTCTTCGGACTCCACTAGAATTTCTTGAGGTCTCACCTTTCAAAAGTTTGACTTTTAGGTTCTGTCTAAGTTTACTCAAACAAGCACAAATGAGCAGCTCCCAAATTTCCGAACAAGTCATGAGTCATTCTGCCCAATTTGTGTCAGTTTGAGAGTGATTTGAAAACAGACCATGCAAACAGAAAGCCACTTCAAATAATGGAAAAGCATCCTTCTTTGGGAATCAAGGACTCTGAATCTTGTTCTTTAGAAATAACAATGGCGCAAAGGCCTTAAAAAACTGCCTAGACGGATTCATCTAACACTGGTGTTGCCTGAGATACATTCCGACCAAGTTTTCTGCCATCTCCGTTTCAGACTTGTAATCACACACAAACTTCAAAGACATCTTATAAAACTACCAATCTTGACATGGGAACCCCTTTGGAATATGGTACAGCAACGGTCACCATCTTAGTAAAGTGGCTAGGCTGTTGCGTTGTTTTAGATTTGTACCTTGGGCAAGGATGATGCAAAATACATGAAATATATATTTTTTCTTCAGAATTTAGACTTATTTTTGTATTAGATACTTTGGACTGTATCTACGCTATAGTTTATGTTTTTATGTTTTCGGAATTAAAGGTCTAAAGTTTCTGTTAGTTGTCTCTGAACATTTACTTGTAACAATTGCAGGTGAGGAAACTAGAAACAGCCCTTGTGAATCATAGGTTTAGGAGAGGGTTAAAGCCCACCAGTCATAGGCTGTTGCCTGACGGCAAGCAGTGTGTGAAACATCCGCCACCACTGTAAGAAGTATTATCGATATAATTCAAAAACAAAGTTCTTCCATCGGTCCTAGTGATCCTGTTAGTTTGATTCAAAGCAATGAAAATATTTATTTTCTTTCTCCAGTAAATTGAGTAATATTTTAACCTTTGCTTCGTGAAAAAAAGAACCAACAATTAACAATTCAACCCACTAATGCTATCGTTTGTTAAAAAAAAAAAATGTGCTGGGGGTTGTGAAATAAATTGAAGAGCATATATAGTGAGCATGGCGGTTTCTGGAGCCATCACTGGAGCGTGCAAGAGGAGGATGATTGAACGACCGATTTGAAAGAATGCAATTCCTCGTTGGTGCTGTGGTCATAACTGGATATCGAACCTCATTGTTGCTCAGTCCTCCGTGTCTTCAACTCGAATATCAGGAACGTCCAAGAACAAAACCATCCGCAGACCAATGTCTCTGTTTATCTTTGTGTTGTATGTATGCAATAACAAAACCATCCTCAGACCTTAAAAACCAGGGTGTCTTCTCTTGGGTCAGCCATCAAGGTCAACTTGTAAACAGGTCTCTTCCCTTGATTTAAGGGAGTTGACTTGATTTAAGAATTAGATTAGGCACCTAAGTTTGTCTGGTCACATGGTTCCTGTCGGCTGCTAGTAGCCATCTCCAACTCTCCTTCTCCTCCCCTGTTTCATATATACTTGGCCTCTTGTTCATTGAATATATATGAAATACATTACAATTTAAAACCGGAAAATCTACAAAAACAGATGATCATGTCTATGGTAGATAAAATTCTCCATCGTAATATCAACATGTTCCGAATCTTGTTCATCCCTGTCGTCATGACCCTTGTTTCGATTTCTTCTGTGGAAATAGCAACTTCTGTGTCTTTAACAGCAACAGAAGGACGAGAAGCGGTGGCTCTTCTAAAATGGAAGGATAGCCTTGACAACCAAAGCCGATCTCTTATGTCTTTGTGGTTCGGGAAAAAGTGCTAGCAGCTGGAGAGGAATAGCCTGCAAGGAATTCAGAAGCATTACTGATATTAATCTTACGAGGAGCGGCTTAAGAGGTACACTCCATGCTTTCAGCTTTTTGTCATTCCCTTCTCTCCTAAGTTTTGATCTCAGCCACAACTCTTTCTATGGACGTATTCCCTCCGGTGTAGCTAGCCCTTCTAGTCTCATCTACCTTGATTTGAGTAGAAATCAACTCGCTGGAATATTACCATCTGAATTAGGCCTGATGACAAGTCTTCACGTGCTTTATCTGCATGATAATGGCATAAATGGATCAATTCCTCAAGAAATAGGATCACTCAGCTCACTCCAAAAGCTAGGGTTGGGCAGAAACAGCCTCACAGGTCCAATCCCAGCCTCCCTATGGAAGTTGGGCAACTTGTCCGCACCATACTTGTACCAAAATAAACACACCGGAACAATTCCACAAGCAGGAAATCTTAAATCTCTTAACCGGCTGCACTTGCAAATGAAGGTTTGATTCCTCCATCCATACAAAACCTCGTCAATTTGACGATTTTAGCGCTTCTTCTGAATAATTTTTATGGATCCATTCCTTCAACTTTCGGAAACCTGACCAAGCTTACCTTATTAGATGTGCAGCAAAACCAATTGACTGGCACATACCACCAGAAATTGGAAAGCTCAAATTGCTTACCAAACTAGGATTGTTCATGAACCATCTTAGTGGCACCATTCCTCGAGAACTAAAGAATCTTACAAATCTGAAAAACTTAGGGGTGTCCAGCAACATGCTGTCTGGCTATCTTCCCCAAGACATTTGCTCTAGTGGACTACTTGTAAATATTACAGCAAATGACAATTATTTCATTGGCTCTGTCCCGAAAAGTTTAAGAAATTGCTCCAGTTTGTACAGAGTGAGGCTTGATGGAAACCGGTTATCAGGAAACCTATCCGAAGACCTTGGTGTTTATCCAAACTTAAATTACATTGATTTGAGCCATAACAATTTCTATGAAAAACTTTCTCAGAACTGGGGGCAGTGCCAAAGTCTGCAAAGCTTGAAAATCTCCCACAACAGAATTTCCGGAGGTATTCCTCCTCAGCTTGGGGAAGCAGTGCAGCTGCGAGTACTTGACCTCTCCTCAAATTATCTAGTTGGGACTATTCCAAAGGAACTGGGGAGCTTAGTATCACTGTTTGACCTTAACCTGGGTGGTAATGAACTTTCAGGTAGTATTCCGTGGGAAATTGGAATGCTATCCAATCTTGAAGAAATTAACGTGGCAGCAAACAATCTCACTGGATCGTTTCCTGAGCAACCATATCAGTGCTCAAAGTTACTGAACATAAATTTGAGCGTAAATGGATTCATAGAGAGTCTTCCTTTTCAGATTGGGAGCTTACAATCTTTTCAGGTTCTTGATCTCAGTCATAATTCACTTAGTGGAGAGATACCGCCGCAGTTTGGAGAACTGGAAAGCTTAAAAGCAATGAATCTGTCTCACAATGAGCTCTCTGGTTCCTTCCCATCTAGTTTTGGTAATATGTTACACTTGACTGCTATTGACGTATCCTACAATCAACTGGAGGCTCCTCTTCCGAACATCAAAGCCTTCAACGAGGCTCCAGTCGAAGCTTTAGAGAATAACAAAGGCTTGTGTGGTAATGCCACTGGCCTGAAGCCGTGCCAATCTACCATAAGAAACACGAAAAATAACAATAATAACATCATTATGATTGCAGCCCTCATTTCAGGAATTCTGTTTCTTGGGTTCATTGTAGTTCGGATTCTCTACATTCCACGCCCACACCAGATTGTAGAAGAACAGCAAATGCCAAGAGAAACACAAACAGAAAATCTCTTAACAATTTCGAGTTATGATGGAAGATTGGTGTATGAGGACATCGTTGCAGCTACAGAGGAATTTGACTCTAAACATTGTGTAGGAGCAGGGGGCCGTGCAAGTGTTTATAAAGCTAAGCTGCAAACAGGCCAGATTGTTGCGGTGAAGAAACTTCATACTCTGCAGGAGGGTGGGATAGCAAATCTGAAGGCTTTTGAGAGTGAGATTCATGCTCTCTCAGAAATTCGCCATCACAACATTGTCAAGCTCTATGGCTTTTGCGCACATCCACGGCACTCATTCTTGGTTTACCAGTTTCTGGAAGGGGGAAGCTTAGAAAGGGTACTCAACAATGACAACGAAGCAACTATGTTTGAATGGATTTCAAGGATTAACCTTGTCAAAAGCATGGCGAATGCTTTATCCTACATGCACCATGACTGCTTGCCTTCAATTGTTCACCAATACATATCAAGCAAGAACATCTAGCTGGATTTGGAACATGCTGCTTATGTCTCTGATTTCGGCACAGCTAGAATTTTGAAGCCTGACTCTTCCAATTGGACTTCATTTGCAGGCACATTTGGATACACTACTCCAGGTAGTTTTCCGGTTGTTATAATTTGTCACGGTAACCATATAATATCTAGGTGAATGCAATAACAGTTGCGTCCATAGTTTTGTTTTTTTCTTTCGGACTAGAGTTTTGAGTTGCTTATTGGGTTTGCAGAGTTTGCATACACAATGGAGGTGAATGAGAAATGTGATGTTTATAGCTTTGGAGTGTTAACTTTAGAAGTGATCATGGGAAAGCATCCGGGAGATCTCATGATCGCAGTTCTGTCCTCGACATCATCAACCGTGCTTAATACACCGCTGACGGATGTTTTGGACCAAAGACTTTCAACTCCAAGAGATCAAATTGCAGACAAAGTGGCGTTTGTTGTGAAGATTGCATTTTCATGCCTGCAAGCCAACCCACAATCTCGGCCAACCATGCAACAAGTTTCCCAGGAGCTAACAAATATTCCAAGGGCTTCTTTACCAATCTCATTTGATAAGATCACGTTGGGACATCTTGTGAACAATGTTTAATTTCCTCAGTATCTGCATCAAATATTTCCCACAAACTTAAGATTGTGTATTGAACCGTACCTTATTTCGCTTTCTTTGACCGTATAGTAATTTCTTTCAAGAACCTGGAGGGCAGTATACTGTTGTTTGTATACGGCTTATATATAGTCTGATTAGTGTCTCTCAATTACATTATTGCTTAAAAGTTTGTAACCGGTTCTAAAATTTGTTCATATTTTCCCAATTCCCATGGGGTGAAGCGTATTCTTGATACATTGGAATAAAAACGTTTACCAGTCCCAATCGTGTTTTTGGTTTTACAATCTTTTAACCAATGAGAGAAAATACAACATTTTCCCCCTATGGATAGAGTAATCTTAATACAATCTGGCTTCACAAATAGGAAACGAGAACACCACAATTGAAGTTGAAAATTTTGGGCTATTCCAATTTAACCTTTGACTAAAGGTGACTGATATTTTGTATATACTAATTTTGATAAATACGACTGTTTATGCGGGGGGCTTTTCGGCCCTTAAAATAGTACAGGCTGAGAAAAAGACTAAGAAAAGCCCAAGGAAGAACAAGGACCGGTGAATTTTAAAAGAGGCATTTCTGAGTGCTATGGCCGATTGTTCACAAGTCTAGTCTGACTAAATAGTATAAAGCACTTTTCGACTGATACAAGCACGTGGGAAAACTGACAACTTTAGGGCACAAAACTCCAAGAACAAACCTACTCATACACTAACCTAGGTCACATGTTAGTCACCAGCGAAGATAGAAACCTATGAAGGGATGTAAGGCTCCCAAACCATTGTTCGGAAGGAAAATCATTGACTAGTCAAGGCCGAGCTTAGTGCTCAGTATGCGTTGGCCCAAAAAAACATGTAATCCTAGCTGAGCTACCATCACCTCATCCCCACTTGTAGATTGATGTGCGAAAGGATAGTCAGCGTACCAGTCTACGTAAGTAGCTCATTTAATACCAGAATAGTAAAGTAGGTGAGCCCATGACTTTATTGGGCTCATTGAAGGCCTTTTTTATTTTATTTTATTTTTTTTGGGGTGGGTTGGGGGGGTGGGTTGGGGGGGGGGGGGGGGGGGTGGGGGGGGCGGGGTGGGTGTGGGTGGGAATGTAAGTGCCCCTTGTAACGCATCGGACGATTGATTGAAGATAAAAAATTTACCATAGCCAAGTGATTCTTGCAATCATCAAGTCAATATATATTCCAAGCACCACTGTTGATGTAGCCTAATTTGAGGATTTAACCACTTAAAATCTTGAGTCAATTATTTTCATAGCTTTAAACACGAAACCATCAAGAGACAATTGTTCTAATTTGTTAACCAACAAATTTTGAGCGTTAACAAATAACGACACAAAGATTGACATATAAGCAGAAGTTTGTGGAAGAAGAAATAAAATTATGAAAGATCCGATCACATTATTTTCAAACTCATGCGTTGAACTTGGAATAATGTAGAAAAAGTGATATCGCTGGACCACCGAAGAGATAGGTATCGTGTTTGTGGTTATATTTCTCATACATTTTTAGTCAAATAGATTGTGTTCGAGTTGGGTAAAAGTTCACACAACACAAGATATATTTTCCACCATGCTTTCGTTACCCATGTTCTGGCCTCCACTATTGACTCTGGCCGGGCAGTAAACCTTTTCTCACTTTGAGGTGACTCATTCAACAACCTGTATTGAATCATTCGATATTATACACATAACATTAATCATTATAATATAAACTATACGGTTAGATTTAAAAATATCTAATGGTAGTTTAATTAAATTAACTAATAAATATAAAATATAAGCTTAAAACTAATAAATTATTGAGGAGCTATGTTGCCCCTTCGATTGGAGAAGGCATATGATTATGGTTTGACACTGTTTATTTAAAAATAAATTTCAATAGGGTTATAATTCTGAACACGGTTAAGTTTAACCCTTTTAGTTGAAGATGACTTAAGCTGCTCGTGCTGTGGGCTTTGGCCCATTGCATGTTACACTTAACCTTGCTTTGATGCCATTTGTTAAGAGCTCATGGATAAAGGAAACTTCATTTGTGCAGTGGGGCTTCATTTGGGCAATTGGCCGTATCTCTAGCCTCACTCTTATGAACATACCCACATTTCCTTTGCATTTTGGTTCATTTGCCTCTATGTGTGACAACATTATAATTTTTTATTGAACTATCCTCCAAGTGTAATCATGTGATGCTCGTACAAATTTCTCTTCAAATTATATTTAAAAACCAGAAACTTAGCTCTTAAACAATCTCAAGTTATGCCTTACCTCTTAAATAATCTCAAGTTATGCCCTCACATATTGTTGCCGGGTTTGCACGTTATGATGAACTGAGGTCAAATGAGAGAGTCGTCCTTGTGCTCCTACATGTTGAATGTGCTAAAAATTTAAACTTCCAAGCAATTTCTCTGGCATTGACAACATAACATGACTTTGAAAAACCTAATTGGCATAAATCATTTCACAGTTCGCACTCAGGAAGTAACTTAGATGGTGCAAGTAATGCTAATAAACTTTATATTATAATTGGTTAGACAATTCGAATTTGGCACCTAAGTTGACATAAAGTCAAAGGTGAAATGACAAAATCCATTCCCTGACGGCTAAAATTTGAACCTAATCTTTGTCTGTATGCTGATAGGATGACGCTGCTGTGCTTCCCTCAATCCACTATTGCTGCAGCTCTCTGTTTTTTTTAAAGGCAACACATATTTTTTAAGTCACCAGTTGGTCTTCCGACGAGAATTTGATGTTTATGTTCACACTTTTGTCAGCATTCACAGGAGGACAACGCAAGACTATGCTTGAAACGAACAAACTGGTTTCTTGCGATTAATAAAATAATCACTCATGGATGTGGACCTTGATCTTATCATTGTCTTCAATTGGGGATATATTTAAATTTAAAAAAAATGTAAAATACACAATTTTTCTGTTCTTTCACACATATTGTTTATTTTTATTCGTCCATTATTTTAATTTAATTTATTTAATTAGATGGTTAGAAATAGAGAAGAGTGTGTGAAAATCATCTCTTAAAAAACCATATCAACAATACTTGAGTACATGACCTCATATGTAGATTAAACTACTTGGGTTACAACTTACGTGTGCAATTTTCCTTTTGATGCTTTAAAGCTGAAATGCTAAAACGTGTTTTAATTTTCTACTTTTAATACAAGTAATATTAGGGAAGATTACAGAACTCGTGATCTCAGATTAATAACATGAATGTTCTTAACTAAAATCCTTTCTTAATTGCAATGAATATGTGTCGTATTAATTTATAATAAATTTATGACCAACAGTAATTCAATCATATAACTACCGACTTGTTGGCATTTTCCTGATGATGCCTGCACTGTGCACAAGTCATATACACAATATATTTAGTATATTTTTATATAATAGAGCACCAAACTATTTCTCAAGACAAAAACCAGCTTAATTTGGCAGATGGGCTTCTTGATCCGTTCTGTGGTTTCCAGATATGAAGAAATCCTCACAACTTAAAATTATGGCATCCAAAGAAGAAAAAGCACTTTCTCCCAAAGCTGCTTATTCACAGAATTCACTTCAAGTCATCCCAATTATACTCATTCTCATGGTGGTTTCTTCAGCTTTAACAGTAACAGCAGGACAAGAAGCAGAAGCACTTCTGAATTGGAAAGCCAGCCTTGACAACAACAAAAGCCTCTCTCTCTTGCCTTCATGGATTGGAAACAGCACATGCAATTGGGAAGGAATTTCTTGTAACAATTTTGGAAGCATAACCCAAATAAACCTCACTTCTTCTGGCTTAAGAGGTACACTTCTTGATTTTGGTTTCTCATCTTTTCCAAGTCTCATGAGCCTTAATCTGAGCCACAACACGATTTTCGGAACAATCCCATTGGAGATAGGGTTTTTGAAAAGCCTTCGAACCCTTGATCTTACCGGAAACAACATTAATGGATCCATTCCCCATGAAGTTGGAATGTTAGGCAACTTAACCTTTCTTTCCCTTCATGACAACAAACTATCTGGAAATTTCCCAATAGAAATATGCATGCTGAGTTCCCTCAGTGTGCTTGATGTAGGAATAAACAATCTCACGGGTTCAATTCCAGAAGAAATCGGAAACCTGTCCAGCTTAACTTTTCTGGCCCTGGGTGGCAACAATTTCTCCGGCTCAATTCCTTCCACTATAGGCAACCTGACCAGGCTCAAGGTGTTATATCTGATGGCGAATCAATTAAGCGGAAGCATCCCACCTGAAGTAGGAAAGCTCAAATTTATTACTGATCTAGGATTGGTGGATAACCAACTCAATGGCTCCCTTCCTTCAGAAATGAATAATTTTACATTTCTGAAGGAGTTGTGGTTGAGCAACAACAACTTTTCTGGCAGCATTCCACAAGGCATATGCATCGGCGGAGTACTTGAAACGTTTACAGCACACAGCAATCAGTTCACAGGCCTCATGCCTGGAAGCTTGAGGAACTGCACCAGCTTAGTTCGATTGAGGCTTGAGAGGAACCAGCTGACAGCAAACATAGCGCAAGAATTTGGCATTTATCCAAAACTAACTTATGTCGATTTGAGTTACAACAGATTTTATGGGGAGCTTTCTGAGAACTGGGGCCAGTGCCAAAACTTACAAAGCTTGAGGCTCAGCAACAACAGAATTTCTGGGGGAGTTCCACGGTTTGAGGGATCAATGCAGCTGCATGTGCTTGTCCTCTCTTCAAATAATCTCACAGGGACAGTCCCGATTGAACTAGGGAGGTTGACATTAATGTTCAACCTTGACCTTGGTGATAACAAACTTTCAGGCAGCGTGCCTGCGGAGATTGGAATGCTAACCAATCTACAACATCTTAGCTTAGCTGCCAACGATTTCAGTGGACCAATTCCTAAACAATTAGACAGGTGCAGAGAATTGTTGAACTTGAATTTGAGCAGAAACAGATTTGGTGGCAGCATTCCTCCTGAAATGAGCAGCATAGACTCTCTTCAAGTTCTTGATCTGAGTCAAAATTCACTGATGAGTGACATCCCACCGCAGCTTGGGAATTTGATGAAGTTGGAAGCCTTGAATCTCTCCCACAATGAGCTCTCTGGTTCGATCCCATCCACATTCGATAACATGTTGAGCTTGACAGTTGTTGACATATCATACAATCATTTGGAAGGTCCTCTTCCCAACAACAAAGCATTCCGCGAGGCTTCGGCTCTAGCATTTGCGAATAACGCAGGCTTGTGTGGCAATGCCACCGGTTTGAATGTTTGTCCGTCCGAAACAAGAGGGGAGAAAAAGAGCAGCAAATCGGTTATCTTCATTGTACTACTTGTTTTAGGCATCCTGTTTTTTGCATTTGTTGTAGCTGGGATTCTTTGCGTGGTCTACCATCCACGGGAAGCACAATTAAATGAAGACCAATTTGCAGTTTGGAGCTATGATGGAAGACTTCAGTTTGAAGACATCATTGAAGCCACAGAGGAATTCAACTCCAAATACTGTGTGGGGGTGGGAGGCAATGCAAGTGTTTACAAAGCTGAGCTCCCAACAGGCCGGATTGTTGCGGTGAAGAAACTTCACATGCTGCAGGACAGGGGAGTGGCAAATCTCAAGGCTTTCGAGAGTGAGGTTCGTGCTCTTACAGAAATCCGTCACAGAAACATTTTAAAGCTTTATGGTTTCTGTTCGCATCCGCAGCATCCTCTTTTGTTGTACGATTTTGTAGAAGGAGGAAGCTTGGAAAACATACTGACTGACGAAAACCATGCAGTTAAGTTTGGATGGATTGAGAGGGTGAATGTTGTCAAGGATGTTGCTAATGCATTGTCTTATATGCATCATGATTGTTCACCTCCTATAGTACATCGAGACATTTCGAGTAAGAACATCTTGCTGGATTTGGAATATCGAGCTTATGTCTCTGATTTTGGTACAGCTAAGCTCTTGAATCTTGAGACTTCAAATTGGACTTCGTTTGCAGGCACATTTGGATATAGTGCTCCAGGTACTTATTTTCTGCACGAATTCTTCCAGTTAACGTGAGTACTAGTCCCTGCTTTTGTTCATTATGATTTGGTCTTTGTTCTGCAGAGTTAGCATACACGATGGAAGTGAACGAGAAATGCGATGTTTATAGCTTTGGAGTGGTAGCACTAGAAGTGATCATGGGAAAGCATCCCGGAGACCTCCTCTCCTATTTTTTGTCATTGTCATTAACATCAACACCCGAACCTATACAACTGAACGACGTCTTAGACAAGAGCCTCCCGCCTCCTGGAAATCATGTTGTCAACAAGGTGATCACCGTTGCAAACCTTGCATTTGCGTGCTTGCGAACGAATCCACAATCTCGACCGACCATGCAACAAATTTCCCGCGAGTTGTTATTTTGAAGGACCATTTTTGCCAAAGATGTTTTGAGGAAACACCTAATTACATAAGCTATGACGAAACTCTATGCTAATAAAGCAGGTCATATTAACATGATGAGTGCCACTCCGATCTCTGTCCGTAACCTGCAGATTGAGAGATCCAAACCGTTCAAGCTATTAGAGATAATACTGTAAAGGATAAAACTTAGAGCTGATATATTTGTTTTACCTGTCTTGGATATTTTTGGTTAGTTAGGTGAGCTGTCCTTTCTGTCAGTTAGATGAGGTGTTAAGTACAAGGCTTTATATGGTTTGTATATATACCAACAATGTAATCCTATTCATTAAGAAATGAAATCACAATTATTCAATATGGTATCCATCGCCTCTGTCTAAAGACTCTTTCACCTCTGATCCTCTTCGCTTCTTCACCGACGAACAGTTCTTCATCCTCTTCCTCTTCCTCTTCCAAACCCTAGATTTCAACCATGGTAGCTAATTCCTCTGCATCTAACTTTGAAATTCATCCCTCTCCGGTCACAAATCAGTACCCTAACTCTTCTCAATCGCTGATTTCTTCAATCACGATTTTGGATATTGGATCTTTGGTTCCAATCAAGCTCACCACCACGAATTATCTTACCTGAAGTGCTCTCTTCACTCCAATTTTTCGCTGGTACAATCTCACTGGCATTGTTGATGGCTTGGTGGCTGCTCCGTCCAAATTTCTTCACGATTCGGCTGGAAATCGCACATCTACGTTGAATCCTGACTTCGTAATCTTATTCATTAAGAAATAAAATCACAATTATTCAATACAAGCGAGCACATAAATGAGATCAAAGGCGTAAAAATGTTGGCAACCGCTATAGGTAAAATTTAGAAGATATAATGGGAGCGGTCAGTAGCAGTCGAAGTGGCATTAGCGCAAGCAGGTAGGCAGCATCGCACGCCAACAACATTGCAAGCAGGCAGGCAGCATCGCACACAGGCAAGTAGCATGCTTTGGTGCCCTCAGTGAACCTAGGGTGATGATAGGCTCGTGCCTTTGACACTCCTCCTACACTCTTAGCGGCACCAACTAAGAAGTGGCATGTTAAAGCGTGACCATCGACTTTGCCTTGCTCCGAGTTGGGACGCCGATAGATTTGCCACTTGCAGCAGAGGTCCTAACACTCCTTCCCTTGGTTGCGAGGACATCTTGACCGTTCTTGGAAGCCATTGATTTCAAGGGTTGTTTTGGATTTCTTGAATGGAGAAATAGATGAGGGGCAAAGATTTTCCCATTGGGTGTGCCAAATTTGTAAAGACGAAAATCCTACGACAAATAACACAAGAACACATGTACAAAATAATATTTGTATTAGTGAATTTAGGGTTTATGACATGCCCGGCCTTGATATCCCCTGAACACCAAGGTAGGCACTTGATGGACGACACCCAAAGGTGACGAAGCCATATTAGGAGGCATAAGAACTAATAAATATAAATAATACTTATAAATTTAAATGTAATTAATATGCAGTTGAGGAACGTGTTCAAAACATACAACTAATTCTATGCACTAGAAAAGAAATGATACAAAATTGAATGAACAAAGGAGTGGGTCCTACACTGAGAGGACTCGAAGATGCCAATGCAGAAGTGCCTTGATGTTAAGATTGTATGCCTCGATTCTAAGTCTTGAGGTGGCGTAAAAGAAACATGAGTAGATCAAGTTATTTATAAATAATACTGAAACAGTTATTCAACATACTAACCCCTAAAGTTTTATGAAAACTAATAGCTTAATAGGTGATAGGTTTTTCTGAAAACCTTAGCATGCCATAAAGCTTTTCATGAAACATATATAGAAAAATGTGCTAAATAGTGGTATCATGTAACAGTATCTCACGGCCAAAGCCACCAACCTATGCCCGGGCGAAGCCAATATATGAGTATCATCGTCTTTAGGCACCAACCTACGCCTGACCGAAGCCCATATATTTATCATCGCCCGTCAGCAGAACCGTGACCACTAGAGACGCACAAAAACATTGAATATACTCTTTCCAAACATAGGTACATATATCTCAAAAACATCTTCATAGCATATAGTCATCCATCATATATACTATAAAGAAGTGTAAAAACATGTTCATAACAGTATATAGTCATCCATCATATATACTACAAAGAACATAAGTTCGATAAAATATGGTATTCCAAAATATTCTCAGTATAACATGATAACCATAAAGTGTAAATCTAATTTACTCATAAAACGTTTCATAAAACGTAACCATTAAATCATGCTTTTCATATATGCATTTCTACTATTAAAACGTGCATTTTAGAAAGGGTACACTCACACATACTTCGCCATCGAAAAGCCACGCAAACTAACGAAGACAGAAACGCCACAATAAATGCACCTAAGCACATAAAGGGTCCAATTAATAAAACTCTAATTAAACAATTGAATTTGGGAAAACGGACTTAAAAAACGGATTCAGGACGTCGAATTACCTTAAGAATAGTCCTTGGTAAACTTCGTAAAAGTCAACACAAAGAATATTCCACGAATATTCCCTGAGAATATTCCCTAAAGGAATATTCCCTGATGGAATATTCCATTTGGGTCAATGGGTTGGGTTGGTCCTTAGGGTGGGCCGGTTCCATTGCCCAATTGCCTTGCGGGCCGCAGGAATCACCGAAGAAGAACACCGGGTTTTTGAGTTTCGCCGGGGAAACTTCTTCGGCTTCGATTCGGGGTCAAACCTTAACCAAAATCTACCATTTGAAAGCCAAATTAAAGGTAAGAGAATAAGGATTCAAATCGTACCAAGATGGGATGAAGTTGACGTCAGATCGGCCAGAAAATAACCTACAAGCCACGGAACCTCGTTGAAAAACTGGAAATATAAAAGTTATCTCTGCATTTAAACCACCCCAAAATGTCTTAAAGCATCCCAATCTACTCTAAAACATAATCTATAGAGGTTTAGGGTGCTTACCTTAGTCGGAAGATTCGAAAACTCGCCAGAGTCACAAACACTGTGACTGCACAGTGCCGAGATATATCGAAAGGAAAGGAGAGAGAGGAAGGAGAAGGTCTAGATGTTAGGAATGCAGGTGAGGTCCTCAGGGTTGTAGTGTGTATGTAAGTATAGATGTGTGTGTGTGATCTTGTTGAAGAGAAGAGCATCGAGAGGGAAAGAGGTAAAGGAAAACTAGGAGAGGTGAGGGAGAGGGAGAAAGAGCAATTAGGTCGGGGGACCAAAAAGTAAGGTGGGCCCTTTGGGCACACCAAATAAGACCCAAAACAATATTTTAACAAAATATCCCAAACTTAGTGAAATTACAAAAATACCCCTTCTTTCCGTAAATTTCGGGATGGGTTGTTACAATTTAGGGTTAGAATCTCTATTTACAAAACTTGAATCCTCTGATTCAATCTCCAAAGATGTAAATTGTGTGTGTTGTTGATTTAAAGGTCGTAATGACTTGATATTCGATGAACAGATGACACAAGGTTTCGACTCTTGGCAATGGAAGAACCATCACGTGTAGGGGTGCCTAGTGGTTCTTCACAAGTGTGACGAATAATGCATAGAGCTTCTTGAATCTTCCAAGAGTTTGAGAATTTGAGGGGTTTGGGAGCCTTAGAGCTTCAGTGTCTGAGTGTAAGAATTATTTTCTAAACCTTTCTTTGTCTTGAAGCCTTGTATTTATAGACTCTCAAAGCTTTGTCTATGGAAGAACCAAGACTTGGTTCGTACCTTGGGTCGTAATTTGTGATTTGGCTCCATTAATTAATGCTTGATTTAATCAAACAAAAAAAATATAAAAAATCAATATTTTCATTTGATTTAAAATTTAATTAATTAATTAATTTAAATTAAAATCAAATAATTCATTTCTACCAAGTGTTGACACATGTCCTCTTGATGACTCTCATGTGTGAGATACATGATACATGTCACGTAAGTCAAATAATTCATTTCTGCCAAGAGTTGACACGTGTCCTCTTGATGACTCACCGATTTTGATAAGTCACATGTCATGTGTACGATTAATGAGATACATGATACATGTAATGTAAATCCTCGTATGTCGAAATTTAATGCGTTGATGAACATTTATTTTCACCAAAATTTACATGTTTACAGTTTTCTCTGACCGTATAGTAATTTCTCTCAAGAACTTGGAGGGCACTATACCGTTGTTTATGTACGCTTACATATATTGTAGTGTCTCCCAACTATATTATTGCTAAAAATTTGTAACCGGTTTCAAAACTTGTTCATGTCTTCTCAATTCCCATGGGGAGAGGCAGTATTGTTGGTATATTGGAATAAAAATGTTTACCAGTCCCAATCTTTTTTTTTTCTTTTTTTTTTAATTTGGTTTTATCATTTTTAACCAATGAGAGAAAATGCAACATTCCCCCCGCCCCACCCCTCCATCATGGATTGAGTAATATCTTAACACAATCTGTCTTCACAAATGTGAAAAGATAACAACACAACTAAAGTCGAAATTTTTGGGCCATCCCAATTTTTAACTTTTAACTAAAGATGAATATGATTTTTGTAAAGGGTCCATATACGAATCTGGATCCTCATTGTGAGGATTCTAGGAATTCGTTAATTGTGTCGGTTGATCGTACATCGTGCAATTAAAAATCATATTAAATTTATTTATTTAAAATTAAACACAAATAGTACCTAACAAAAATTGACCGTACGATGTACGATAAATGAACACGATTCACGGATCCTCAAGATCCTCACAAAGATGATCCGAAGAGGATCTTGTTGGTCTATAGACTAACTTTGATAAATACGACACAAGGATTCACTTATAAGCAGAAGTTTGTGGAAGAAGAAATAAAATTATAAATGATCCGAGTGCATTATTTCAAGCTCCTGCATTGAACTTGGAATAATCCCAAAAATAGTGATATGGCTGGACCACTAAAGTTAAGTTGGCACTTACAATATTTACCCTAATTACAATATTTAATGCTAATAAACCAAGTCATATTTGTTGAAGAATAGAATCTCATACCGGTAAAAAAAATATATACAATTAATATAAGGCAGTTTCCACCACTAATATTATAAGTGATTAAATTGGGATAACATTGGTAATATTGATGGTGGACCATGTTTAGACCTATAAAGTTTCACATGGTATCAGATAAGATTATTCTTTCGACACATCGTATGTCCGATTTACTGGGCTTAAATTTGCATCTTTAAGTTGGTCTTTCAAAAAATTACTCTAGCTCCAACTTAAAGGGATTAAATGACTAGGCCCTCAAAAAATTGCGTTGGCCCTAGTACCTAAATGATGATCGGACTTTCGAAAAGTTGCGCTAGCTTCGATTTAATGACTTGACCAGTTCGTAGTGAATTGGCCATTGTGACTTGGATTGCCCCATGCCTTTCTTGGTTGGACAAGCCCAACCGTCGACTTCCGTCTTCCTGAATTGGGAAAGCAAGAACAAGTCTATTTTCCTTTTCTTCTTATTACAGGTGACCCAAAAATGAGTTCACAAGACACGACGCGTAGGCTCATCGCATCAAAGTTGCCAATCTAAAGTAGTGTGCGTCACTTTATGTATCAAATTCAAATTTTCTTTTTTGTGCAACTAATGTAACATAGACAATGACTGAAAAGAAACTGGCTTGGGTTTCATAGGAGAAGACAAAGTTGTATGGAATGCTGATTTGAGGTCAACAATTTAATGCATGTATTCTCCGTAAACAGACGGGTATAGTATTTGTGCACCTATTTCTCATGCCTTTTAGTCAAATAGATTATGTTCGAGTTGGACAACAGTCATACAACACAAGATACCGAAGGCGGAATGACACAATCACGCAAAAACATGGCCTATAGGAAGGGTCGATATACAAGAGCACTTGTACAATTCCACGATATGTTAATATTCCACCATGCTTTCGAAGTTGATGTTCTCACTGGCCTACTCTATCGACACCGGCCGGGCAAGGATATCCCAAAAGCTTCCTAGGCCCAAGGACTAATCCCTCCGGAATATATCAGATGATCCTACCGTGCATTGCAGCACAGTGCCTGGCCACTTTGACAGTTTCGGGGTTCGAACCTAGGTTGGAGAGCACCTACCTACCTACATTATTAAATGTGTAACAATCTGTTTCAAATTTTATATAACGCAAAAAATATTTTTGTATTTTTACTTTGAATGGGTTTTATTTGTTTTAAACTTGCTTTATGCCTTAAATGGTGTGCCCAAAATGGGGCCCACCCGTGACTTTTGTCCCCCATCCCACTCTCCTCTCTTTTTCCTCTCCTTTCCGTGAGCTCTCTCACTCTCCCTCTCACAACTCTCTCTTCCTCTCGGCTCTCTCTGAAAACAGCCCTTCCAAGGGCCTTCCACAACAAACAACAACAACAATAACCCTCCACCACCATCCTCTCTCCTGTAGGTGAATCCATGAACCCAGAAAACACCCCAAACGTTTCCCTTACCCTCGACCGACACTATTCATCGTCTTCCTCGTCGAGTTTCTCACAATTCCGACGAAGGTAAGCCTTGAAATTGGTCCCTATCATTGTAGATCATGTCTAGGTTCATGGTTAGTAAGTTTTTGGGTGATTTTGGTGGTGTAGGAACTCGGAAAAGCTCAAGGGAAGTCACTGTCCAAATCTGGATATTTCCAGGCCGTGGTCGTTTGGCCATCTTTCAGGCCATTTTCCGGCACACTTAAAGGACCTTTTTGCCAAAGATGATTGCAAAACCCTAATTGTTGGATTTATTGAAATATAAATCAACCTTAAATGGTCTACAATGTAATAGGAATGTAATATTAAAAAATATTGATGAGATTGTAATTTGATTCCCTCTTAATCAATCTTATATTTCGGGTTTTGGAATACAATTAAGATTAAGATTCATTGAGTATTTGACAACAATATGAGGCTATTAAGTGGCGTCACAGCCACTAATTATATGATTAAAACCTATTAAGTTTGAAGTTGGATTATATAATATTTTCATTAACTGCTTTTTTATTTTATTTTAATCTTAAATGACCAAGGTGTCATTGCATATGCTTGGCATACTAATTAAAATATTATCTGTCCCCAATATGTTTGAACAGAACGTCACATTCTTTTCAAGAAGGTATTATGCACCCAAAACGGAGATAGAACACTAAATTTGTAAATTACCGTTGCATCCTTTTGTCTTATGAAATTTAAAGCGCTTTTATTCTTTAATTTTCCTCATAAAAATTCACTCCAATCTTATCCTAAATCAAAACACTTTCTCTAGCCTTACTCACAAACACAAATTCTTCCCACATTTTGGTAATTTGACTCCGCCCGTAACAACATGACTTCTTATTCGATGATCCTACAAGTTCAACCACATTGATGCTCTTGTTTAAGATTCACTTCATAGAACTTGTCTCTAAATACCGACATGTAAGAAAAAGGTGCTCAACAATCTCCGGTTATGCCATAACATATTGCTGCCGAGTTTGCATGTTTTTTGGTCTATTGATGTAAAAAATGAGAGCCCTTCCTCATGCTCGCGTGCATGTTGAATGCGCAAAAAATTAAACTTCCAAGCAATTTCTATGGTGATGATGATAAAATGGACTTTGAAATCTTTTCACACACTCATCAAGAAGTAGCCTGGATGGTGCAAGTAATGCTAAATTTTAAGATTAGAATTAGTAGATAGTTCGAATTTGGCACGTGATTTGACATAGAGTCAAACGACAAAATCCATTTGTAGACGGCTAAAATTTGAACCTAATCTTTGCCTCTATAGGATGAGGCTGCTGTAGCTGTCTACTTTTTTCAAAGCCAACACAGATATTTTAAGCCACCAGAGGATTCGAATTTGGTCTACATTAGGTCTTCCAATGAGAATTTGATGTCTGTCTTCACGCTTTTCTCAACATTCACAGGACCGCCAATACTATACTTGAAAAGTTGAAGATAAATTTGTTTCTTGCGTGTACATAATAAAATAATCAATCATGGACATGGACATGGACGTCCAAGGAATCGTTGTCTACAGTCTACGGTGGGGCTATATATGATAAGCAATAGTGAAAAGCCGGAATCAAACATCCAAACTCGGATGCAAGAAAAAGTATTTATAACCGCTTAAATTACGAGTCATTTACTGTTTTTTTTTTTTTTTTTTTTTTTTTTTTCTTGGATGCTACTTAGAAGTTAGAAAAAGTGAAATACGGGTTTTTCTTCTGTTTCTGATGCAATTGTCATTGAGAAAGGAGTAATTAAATTTGGGATTTCAAGTACGAGATAAATGTTTTTAATCAATTAAGCTATGTGCGTATGTATTTGGTTTGGTATGTTATAATAAGTTCATGACTAGCAGACATGTAATTCGTATCATTACCTATATATAAAAAAATATATTTAATAAACTAATGGTGCCTGCACTGTGTACAAGCTCATATATTAGAGCACCTGACTCTTCCTCAATGCTAAACCAGCTAATTAATTAGGCAGATGGTCTTCTTGAGCCATCTCCTTGTTTCCAGAAATGAAGACTTCCTCACAACCGAAAATCATGGCATCCCAAGAAGAAAAAGCACCTTCCACCAAAGCTGCTTCTTCACAGCATTCATTTCAACTCATTCCAATTATACTCCTCCTTATGTTGGCTTCTTCAGATTCAGCAGCAAAAGCAGAAGTTGTTGGCCAAGAAGCAGAAGCTCTTCTGAAATGGAAAGCTAGCCTTGACAACAATACAAGCAGACTCTCTCCTTTGTCTTCCTGGACTGGAAACAGTAATTGCAATTGGGATGGCATTTCTTGCAACAGTTTCGGAAGCATAACACAAATAAACCTCACTTTTTCTGGCTTAAGAGGTACACTTCATGCTTTTAATTTCTCAGCTTTCCCAAGTCTCATGAGCCTAAATTTAAGCCACAACGCGATTTTCGGAACCATCCCGTCGGAGATAGAGTTTCTGAAAAGCCTTCAAATCCTTGATCTTTCTGGAAACAACATCAATGGGTCCATTCCACATGAAGTTGGAATGTTAGGCAACTTAACCATTCTGTCCCTTAAAGACAACAATCTCTCTGGAAATCTCCCTACAGAAATATGCATGCTGAATTCACTGAGTGTGATCAATGTAGCAGATAACAGTCTCATGGGTTCGATTCCAGAAGCAATTGGAAACCTGATTAGCCTCAAGGAGTTGTATCTGATGGGAAATCAATTAATTGGAAATATCCCACCTGAAGTAGGAAAGCTCAAATTTCTTACTCATTTGGGATTGGTTGGTAACAAACTCAATGGCTCTCTTCCTTCAGAACTGAATAATTTTACATTTTTAAAGTGGTTGGCGTTGAGTAACAACAACTTTTCTGGCAGCATTCCCCATGATATATGCATCAGCGGAGCACTCGAATTGTTTACAGCACACAACAATCAGTTGACAGGCCCCATGCCTAGAAGCTTGAGGAACTGCACCAGCTTAGTTAGACTGAGGCTTGAGAGGAACCAGCTGACAGCAAACATAGCTCAAGAGTTTGGCATTTATCCTAAACTAACTTATGCCGATTTGAGTTACAACAGATTCTATGGAGAGCTTTCAGAAAACTGGGAGCAGTGCCAAAGTTTACAAAGCTTGAGGCTCAGGAACAACAGAATTTCCGGGGGGATACCTCGGCTTGAGGGATCAGTTCCGCTCAATGTGCTCGACCTATCTTCAAATAATCTCACAGGGACAATCCCAAAGGAACTATGGAAGTTGACAACCTTGTTCGACCTTAACCTAGGTGATAACCAACTTTCAGGCAGCTTGCCCTCGGAGATTGGAATGCTAACCAATCTACAACATCTTAACTTAGCAGCCAATGATTTCAGTGGACTAATTCCGGAGAAATTAGGCGGGTGCACAGAGTTGTTGAACTTGAACTTGAGCAGAAACAGATTTAGTGGGAGCATTCCTTTTCAGATGGGGAGCATAAACACTCTTCAAGTTCTTGATCTCAGCCAAAATTCACTGATGAGTGAAATCCCACCACAGCTTGGGAATTTGATGAAGTTGGAAGCCTTGAATCTCTCTCACAACGAGCTCTCTGGTTCGATCCCATCTACATTCAGTAACATGTTGAGCTTGACAACAGTTGACATATCATACAACCATTTGGAGGGTCCCCTTCCCAACAACAAAGCGTTCCATGAGGCGTCGTTTCTAGCTTTTGCGAATAACACAGGCTTGTGTGGCAATGCTACCGGTTTGAATGTTTGCCCGTCCAAAACAAAGGAGGAGAAAAAGAGCAGAAAATCAGTTATCTTCATCGTACTCCTTGTTTTAAGCATCCTGTTTTTTGCAATTGGGGTAACTGGGGTTCTTTGTGTGGTCTGCTGTCGGCGGGAAGGGCAATCAAATGAAGACCAGTTTACGGTTTGGAGCTGTGATGGACGACTTGAGTACGAAGATATCATTGAAGCCACAGAGGAATTCGACTCCAAATATTGTGTGGGGGTGGGAGGCAATGCAACTGTTTATAAAGCTGAGCTCCCAACAGGTCGGATTGTTGCGGTGAAGAAACTTCACATGCTGCAGGATAGTGGAGTGGCAAACCTCAAGGCTTTCGAGAGTGAGGTTCGTACTCTTTCAGAGGTTCGTCACAGAAACATTTTGAAGCTTTATGGTTTCTGTTCGCATCCACAGCACCCTCTTTTGTTGTACGATTACGTAGAAGGAGGAAGCTTGGAAAACATACTGACCGACGAAAACCATGCGGTTAAGTTTGGATGGATCGAGAGGGTGAATGTTGTCAAGGATGTTGCTAATGCATTGTCTTATATGCATCATGATTGTTCACCTCCGATAGTACATCGAGACATTTCGAGTAAGAACATCTTGCTGGATTTGGAATATCGAGCTTATGTCTCCGATTTTGGTACAGCTAAGCTCTTGAATCTTGAGACTTCAAATTGGACTTCGTTTGCAGGCACATTCGGATACAGTGCTCCAGGTACTTATCTTCTGAATTCTTCCATTTAACATAAGTACTTATTTCCTGCTTTTACTCATCATGACTTGTTCTTTGTTCTGCAGAGTTAGCATACACAATGGAAACGAACGAGAAATGCGATCTTTATAGCTTTGGAGTGGTTGCACTAGAAGTGATCATGGGAAAGCATCCCGGAGACCTCCTCTCCTATTTTTTGTCATTGCCATTAACATCAACACCCGAACCTATGAAACTGAACGACATCTTAGATAAGAGGCTCCCGCCTCCAGAAAACCATGTCGTTGAAAAAGTGATCACCGTTGCAAACCTTGCATTTGCGTGCTTTCGGACGAATCCCCAATCTCGGCCAACCATGCAACAAATTTCCCGCGAGTTGTTATGAAGAGAGTAATACAGTTCCCGCAAATCAAGCAGATAAAACTGTCATTAGAACGTGATCTCTTGCTTTTCACAATTCACTCGTTTCATTTATTTACTGTTTTATTGTATTTACTTGCCTTCTATGACTTTACGTAGTTAGTTGTGTGTGTGTATAATCTTTGAGAATACAACAATCATCGAGTCAATTAATCCAAATACACTTAGCCTCTCCTATTCTCTGCGCTACTTTTCCTTCCTCTGCCATTCTCAAATTCTATCTCGTATCAGCCTTAACCCTCACTAACGCTCATCAAACTCGATCCCCTATGGCCTCGATCACAGCTGCCTCTAACACCTCCACTATTGGCGATCTTTCTTCTGATTCTTCTTCTTCCACCATGACAGCCATCACCTTGTCCCTTCCCACCATCTTCAATATCTCTCACATGATCAATACTCCCTTGGATAGCCAAAACTACCTCTGTGGTGCTCTCAGTTTCAAGATATTCTTGACATTCAAGACCCTTGTCCTCACCATTCGTGATCAAATCCGCACCTTGAAACACGATTCAGAGAAACCTATCACTTGAGTACCTCCTACACGCCAAAAGCCTCTTTGACTCCCTTGCCACCATTTGTGCTGCCCTAAATGAGGCTGAACTCATTGATTATATTCTTGCTGGTCTCGGGCAAGAATATAAGGCATTTAAAACTTTTGTCCATCTTCGTAGTTCTATTTCGTTTGATGACTTTTATGACTTACTGATTCAGGAGGAGCACCTTATCAAGACAATATCTTCTCTTTCTCTGTCCTCTGGCATTACTCTTGTTGCTGATCGTACTTCCCCTGGCCATGCCAGCCACAACAACACCTCTACCCTTTCTCCTCGCACCAACGGATATCCAGGCAACAGTAGAGGTCGTGGTCGTTCTGGTCGTGGCGGTTGCTGCTCCCACAATACTTGGAACCGTCACACTAATTGGCATCCCCGCGGTCCATTGACTGAAAACCGTCCATCTCTTCTCCCTACTCTGACACCGCCGCCCACTCCACCTCAATATCAGTTTGATTTCCTCTGCCAACTATGTGGTAAACCTCATCACGGAATCTAAGAATGTTCGAAACGAGGAAATTTACATATTTCGCCACTACCATGTAAGAACAAGTTTATGATCTGAGGAACCCGAATTCATCCAATTGAATCACAACTTATATAAGCCTTTCATTAAACACACTCAAGAACAAAATCCTTAAAAACATACCTGCATTATTCGATCCTAATGATGAAGCCATTGCAGCTTCTGTGCTCAAAACCTTCTCCTCTTTTGAGATAATAACAGCTCTTCTAATCAAAGGTCTTAGAATAAAATAAGCCAGTAACCGCAAGAGCAGTGGTTTAAGCAATATATATAGTACTCCTCCGTCTATTCCTTATCAGAATCAGACTAGGATCTAAACTATACAAACCATAAAGAATTATGAATTCCAACACTAAGCTCTTTTCCCAAACCAATTGAACTTCTCTCAATACTGTTATCCTAAAACATTGAAGACAACCAAATAGCTTTAATCAAGCCTTTTCCATATCAATCTCAAACACTATGACCGGTTCTATTATGTATTTCATACTCATAATCTTACATACCATACACCTTGGACATGCCGAGACTACTTAGGTGGTTGATTTTGGAGCCACCCATCATATGACTGTTAGAGTATGAGTATGATTCATATAGTTTGATAATAATCCTTGTTGTCTCGGATTACAATAAAGAAGTCTTAATATGTTTATAAGAGTTAATTCAAATGTGGTTTGGATTGAAACTCTATGTTGATAAGCTCGGGTATAGAATTCATGCTTGCACAAGGATTTGGTCTTGTAATCCTTGTAGGATTGTTATAGGGTAATCTAGTAGTATAAAACCACAAGCCCCTTCTCTCACAAAGAACGCTCTTTTGTTCCAATTACCTATAACTTGGAAAGCATTAAGTTTTGCAGAGAAGAGAAGGCTTCTGCAGATTTTCATGGCTTCTTCGTCTATGAACATGTCTGCAGGTATGTACTGGTGTAATTGCTTCTGTTCTTACATTCACATTACATACACGATCAAAGGGTTGTGATTTAGTTGATTAATCCTTATGTTCTTGGCTAATGAGTTAATCTTTAAGTTTATATTTCTTCTTACATGTGGTGTAAAAGCCAATGGATTTTTCATTTAAATTCAATCTTAAAATCGTTCTTTAAATTTGCAAACCAAACTGACCTAAAGGAACAAGTCTGTTTAAATTCGAATTGAAGTCTACGATGTCGTTTGATTAGTATTCTTTAAAATTATGACCATTGGCTTCGGAGAACAAAACTCGGTTTTAAAATTACTATTAAAATTTTTTGACCGTTATCGAAGCAAAGAGGAAAAAACAACTCTTAATTTTCAATCTGTGAAGGAAAGATCCATAATCTGATATGGCAATTTCATCTTTCCCAAACATCATAAAATCAAAATTCTTGTATATCTATTGCATCCACTGTGTTGATTATGATGTATGCATATTAGGTAATTTCTATTTCCTCTTAATCCATCTTGTGTTAATATAGTAATACATAAAGATGTATTCTGTAATTTCTGCCATGATTAATGAAAAACGTTGAATGAAGATTATACAATGCGTTTGATTCCATATCTGCAATTTATTGACATGTTGTTCTTTTGTTTTCTTGTCACAATTGGAATTATGATTGGCGTGATGATTGAGTTTCTGTATACACAGATGGGTTGTTTAATCTATATATGTTTTTCATGTTTATGAGAAATTTATATATATGACTAAATTGATTCATAAGCATTGTGTGTTAAGTGAAAATAGATTGAAATCAAGAACTTTTGGTTCTTTTGTTGAGATTTCATTTTGAATTTGTCTGCAGTTTCACTTAAGACGCTCAACCTTGCTGGTGTCTATTCTCACTGGAGGCAGGGATTACAAGAAATGGAGGCGTGAAATTGGTTTATTGCTGACATTCAATGAGTTCGACATTGCACTGGATTCGCCCAAACCACCAGATTTGACGGATAAGAGTACCAAAGCTGAGAAAGCTGATTCTAAAAGGTGGATGAGGGCTAATAAAATTGCCTTATCAATTCTTGAGAGTGCAATGACTGACATAATGAGAGGGGCATAAAGATGCATGCTCTTGCGGTGGATTATCTCAAAGCCATTGAAAACAAGTTCAAGGAGTCTGAAAAGGCAGAAATTAGCTTGTACATGTCAATGTTGACAACTTACAAGATTGATGGGAATACTTCCATCAGGGACCATATAATGAAGATGACAGATGCAGCAAAAAAGCTTAACTCAATGGATGTGACTATTGGTGAAAAACAACTTGTCTTCATGATTCTGCAAGCACTGCCAGCAAAGTATAGTCAATTGAAAGTGTCCTATAATACTCAAGACAAGACATGGACCGCTGATGAGTTAATTGCTCAATGTGTGCAAGAAGAATCTCGACAGAAACAAGAAAAATGCAAGGAGCTCGAATCTGTCAATCTTGTGCATAAAGAAACCACTTATGCTTCTGGTAAGACATTTAAATTCTCTGATAAGTCTGGTAAGCCTGCTAAAAATACTAAACCCTCTATGTCTAACAATCTTAAAGCTAAACCTAAAGATGTTTCTAAGATCAAGTGTCATCACTGCAAGACTAAGGGTCATTATAGAAAGGATTGTGAGATATTCAAGGATTGGTTGAAAAGTAAAGGTAGAACTGATGTCTATGTATGTGTGGAGTCTAATTTGGTTGAAATTCCTGTTAATTCTTGGTGGTTTGACTCTGGTTCTTCAGTTCACATCACAAACGCATGGTTTTGAAAAACAAAAATAAAATGGTATAAATTCTTATAATGTTTTTGTGGGGGAAGGGTCAAAAGTAGAAGTTAAGGCTATTGGAATTGTGAATTTAAAAATGAAGTCAGGTTTTGTTCTTAAATTAAATGATGTTTTATATGTCCCAGCAATGAGAAGGAGTTTGATATCTGCATCAAAATTAGTGAAACAAGGTTTTGGTTTTTCTTGTGATGATCAAAATATTAACTATTTTCAAAAACATAAGAAAAATATATTGTTATGGATAGCTGTTTTGTATGAAGAACCATGGAAATTAGATTGCATAGTGGTGGAAACACCTAGTTTTGTTTTAAACACGAGTATCAAAAGAATGCATGACTCTGAGTTTTCATATGAGCTTTGGCACAAAAGGCTGGGACACATTTCAAAAGATAGGATTTTGCAATTAACTAAAACTGATTTGATTCCTGCACTTGATTTCAAAAATGCCAAAGAGTGTATTGATTGTATGGAAGGAAAATTAACCAACACAAGGAATTTTGAGGCCAAGAGAAGTCAGAATCTCTTAGAAATTATCCATACTGATATTTGTGGTCCCCTTCCAATCAAAACTATCTATAGAAATAGCTATTTTGTGAATTTCATTGATGACTTCTTTAGATATAGTTATACCTTTCTTATTAGTGAAAAATCAGCAGCACTTGAATGTTTCATAATCTTTAAGACTAAAGTTGAGAAACAACTAAATAGGGAGATTAAGATTGTTAGATCCAATAGAGAAGGAGAGTATTTTGGCAGGTGCACTGAGGCTGGACAAGAGAAGGGTCCCTTTGCACTTTATCTCCAACAACAAGGCATTATAGTATAATATACCACATATGGAACACCACAGCAAAACGGTGATGCTGAAAGAATGAACATAACTCTTATTGGAATGGTTCGAAGCATGATATCAAGATCCAAGTCGCCTAGTTTTCTCAGGGGTGAAGCACTTAAGACTGCAAATTATATTTTGAATAGAATTCCCACCAAAGCTGTTAAGAGTACACCTTTTGAAGTCTGGACTAGAAGAAAGCCAAGCTTTGGACACTTTCATGTGTGGGGGTGCAAATCTGAGGCAAGATTCTATAATCCCAGTGAGAAAAAGTTGGATTCTAGAACAACAACCTGTTATTTCATCGGATACTCAGAGAAATCCAAGGGTTTTAAGTTCTATTGTCCACAAGCACACTCAAGGATCCAAGAGACTCACAATGCAGTATTTATAGAAGATCAAAATGTTGCTGATTTGATAACAACTGAAGAATTCATTTTTGAAGAGTTGAATGATTCTCAAATTGCTAATTGTCCAAATAACTATATTCAAGTACCAGTTTTTCAGAGATCTTCA